TTGGCTCTGAGTGCTGGGGCTTTGCCTGAAGGCCTTTAGCAGGTGGAAGAAGCACCCACTGCAGCCCCTGTGCCCAGGACTGAACTCACTATTCATTTCCGTAGGGTTTGGAAAGCCTTCCATGAGCCCTGTGTCTGCCAGGCAAGCAGCGCTGCTGTGCGTGCTGCCTCTTTCCTGCAGGGCTGGGGTGGTCTCCTTAGCTGTGCCTGCTCGTAGTTGCTCTCATTTGTTTTTCCAGCAGTCTCCAGGACTTTATTTTTATGCTGAATATAATCATAGAGGTTAACTGAGCTGCGCTGACTTTCCCTGGAAAACTTCCACTCTCTGCTTCTCCACAACAAGGACATTGCAGTGTGACGGAAACCCAAACATCTCCTGTGCCCTCCCCATTTCTTTAGTTATTTTGAGCCAGGACAGCTCAGGTTTTGGTGTATGAGAGGTGCTGGGGTGTGGAAGGAGGCAGTAGAGCTGTGCCTGGGGCTGCTGGTGGTGTGGATAACTCAACAGCCAGATTCCAACCTAAGTTGAATCCCAACATCAGTGTATGTGATAGAATCATAGGATCACAGAATGGTTTGAGTTGGAAGGGACCTTTAAAGGCTATCTACTCCAACTCCCCTGCAATGAACCAGGACACCCACAGCTCCATCAGCTGCTCAGAGCCCCATCCTGCCCAACCTTGGGTGTCTCCATGGATGGGGCACATCCCCTTGCTGGGCACCCTGTGCCACTGCCTCACCGCCCTTATTAAAAAGGATATATGCAAGGCAGGAGTTTCCCTTCAGAGGAAATTCTTCTCTCTGGGATGCTCAGGATTGTTGCAACAAAGTGCTGACCCCCCAGGAGGGCTGATGAAAGCTAAAAGCAGGCTGGAGCTGCTGTTGCTGGTTTGTTGCATTGGAGAAGGGCACTGTGTGTGTCTGCTGGGACTCCTCGGGTGCTGTTCTGCAAGTGGCTGTGTGAGCATTTCTCAGTGTTGTGTCAGCAAGGACGTGTCCTACCTCCAGGGGGTTGTGTCCTGGGCAGTTTTACTCTTGTCCAATTTATGCCTGATCTGAAATCAGCCTCTGCTCTCCTTCTGCTCTTTAAAACAGGACTCAGATTAATGTAGACCTACATTAATCTAGGTTTAATTTTAACCTAGATTAAAGACCTACATTATATATATATATATATGTGTGTATAAAATATACATATATTTTTTTTTTGCATAGGGATGTAGAAGTAACTGTAGGGAATGGTCCAGCCCTGGGCATGGTGGTGATGGGTTGATGGCTGGACTAGATGATCTCAGAGGTGTTTTCCAACCTTTCTGATTCTATGATCCTAACTTGCAGGGAGCCCTGCATCCTGCTTCCCATGCTAAGTCAGGAGCAGTGTTGGGAAGGACTTAAAGTTACAGGTTATGGACACAGCACCCTTTCTGCTACATATTGCACCACTGCTACTCATAGCCCCCAATGGCCCTTTTTGCTGGGAACTCTCCTGTCTCCTCTTGAGCCCCTCACATTGCTCCCAGCTCAGCACATGCCCTGCTGGCAGTGGGGCACGAGGGGCTGCCTTGCCTTTCTGCATGCACCTCATCATTCCATTGGCTTCCTGGGGTGTATTATTATAAGGAGTGATTCATCATTCTCCATATGAGTGCTACATACCACTCATGATTTTACATGCCTCTGTGATGCCTCATATGAAAGGCTCTATTTATTTATTTCTCTCTCCAGTGGTTCACAGGCGGAGAATAAATCCATAGCATTATTGAGACAATACTGACAGTACAAGAGGAGACCACGGGATATTCCCAGCAAGAGCTAGCAAATAGTGGCTATCTGTAAGTCCATACAGCAGCAAAAGGATTCAAGTGAAGCTGTTTTAAATATGCTATTTTGGTGGAGTGGTAAAATGCTTGTATTGACTGGGATGGCAAAGAGGAAAGGGAGGACCCATGGGGGTAAGAGTGGGACTGAGATGCATTAGCAGCACTGCTGAGGGAAAACATTGTCTTCGAGACATCTCAAATTCCCATTTCCAGTCTGTCTGGGTGCATTTAGAGAGAAACACATTTCCTCAACCGCACACCAAGTGTGAGGCTTTTGCTTTGGGCTCCTTTGAGGAAACCATCCTCGTTCACCACCCAGAGCTGTGTCTGCTCCCATTCCCCAAAGGGCCACGAGACCTTGAATGCCTATGAGTACATCCAGAACGAGATGCTTGCATGGCTTGGAGGACCCTCCATGTCTTTCTGGGCATAAACATCATGTGTTTTATCAGTTGGGGTGTGAGGGGAAGTTGATTCCCAAGAAGCAGAGATTTCAGCCCACATGAGACACACAGGCACTGCTGTGCTGCACAGCCTGGTTCAGGTTAGTGGAATCACCACCAGAGCTGCTCACGGGATGCAGTGCCTTTGGCATTGACGTCACCACTCCTCATTTGCACTGATGTCACCCCAAGGTGACGGTGGCCAAAATCCATCATTACCTGGCAGCTGCTGGGTAAAAGAAGCCAGGGCTCCTTGAGCAATGCAAAAAGGGGCAGATTGCACCAGGATTGGAATCAGAGAAGGGAATAGGAAATAGACTGGGAGAAACTGACCACTGGGCAGGGACAGTGGAGAGGTGTGGGGACATTTCTCTGCAGAGCAAACAGGGGAGAAGCAGCTGGAGAAGGGGTGACAGAAGGAGACCAAGAGGAGTTCAACTGAGCAGTTCGTCTTTATTATAGGAAAATGAACACTGAATGAGACTGAAAAACAGTACATTGAAGAGTGTGAAGAGATAGCCCTGTGCAGCAGGAGGGGTATTTGTCACGGTGTGTCTTGGAGGTCTGTGTGGTTGGAAAAGAACCTGGGCATTTGCTGTCAGGAGGAAAAGACACAGGAACCTCCAGGAGAACCTACAGCCCCACTGGGTCTCTATGGAGGCCAGAGGGACCTCCAGGGTGGGATCCAGGAGACAGCTCATGAGCTGAGGGAGCAATAAAATTCCAATGGGAGGCTTTGTCAGCGTGGGTTTCTTGCCTCTCTGATGGCATCATTTGATCCAGCCATCCTCAGAGCTGCCTGCCACGTGGGATGCAACAGGGCCAGCATTTCCTTGTCCCTTTCACTGCAGTTTATTCAGAACAGGATTAAACACGTTGGTCGGGGCAAGGTGGGGAGGTCTCAGCACCGTCACATCTGGTCTGTGGGCAGCAGGCATCTGCAGCAAGCTGACATTGCTCCTCAGCCCAGCACATTGTGCCAGCCCTAAAAATGTGCCTTGAAAGAGGAAATAAAATCTTCACAGGTTTTCCTCTCCAGCTGCTAAAACACCGAGCAGGGGGTAACGCTCCTATACCACCTGCAGAAATGCAGATGATCTCATCTGCCAAAACACATAAAAGACATTCCTCACGCAAAGTAAAGCTGGCTGTTGTAATTTCTTTCTCCTTCACACAAAGAGGGAATACAAATTGCGGATGGTGCTGCATTCAAAAGGAATCTCTTGTTTTCTGAGCGGATAATTAGCCACGTAAAATGTTTGTTAACAATCATTAAAAAGGTGGAAATCCTGCTGTCAAGCATGGCTATATTTGATCTCTATTATTTTATTCTTTTGTGTGAGCAAAAGGTGCCCTAAAAGGCAAGAGGATGTGCACTGTGACCTCTATTTCCCCAGACATCATTCCACTGTTCAGCAATAGAAAAGCTCATGATCTTCCAAAGTCCCATGAGATGCAGACCCCAACCTGGGCTGCCCAAGGCCTTCTCCCTGCAGCTCCCACCCGGAGCTCAGTACCGTGGCACCAACGTTTCCACAGCCCCTTATGCACAGCCCCTTGCAGACACAGAGCAGGGGCTGATCTGTGTTCCTTCCATCCTTGTGGGTCACAGCTTGCTGCTTTTCCCTCTCACCTGTTGCCTGGTCTGGTGTGTTTTCATTCCAAGATCTTTGGGAGAAAGGTTTCCTTACAAACACAGATGTTCATTGCAATAGGGTTCCTAAGCTTTAGTGAGGTCTTTCAATGCTAATGTAATAAAAATATAGCGTTTATTTACGAAGGCCTCTTTCCAAAGATATGGTGGAAGAAATAAGTTTTAACCTACTTCTGATCTTCAGAGAGAGAAAGCACTTTGATTCTCTCTTTCCCAGACAAATAGCATTGCATTATTTGCTTCTGATTTTATTAGCTGTAAAACACTTCCTATTTTTATTTTCACATGCCAATGACTTTGTTTGGTACGGACAGAGCTGAGAAAGAGCTGGTTTTTCAAGTGCAAATCATGTTAATAGAAGCCCAGTTCTTTCCACTCCGTGCACAGGAACATAACTGTAAGAAAAAGAGAGCTGATACCCAACAAATATTTTCTTACTGCATTTTCTACATCACCTCCAAGGCCATATTCTCCCTTCTGAATTACCGAAGTGGAGTGGCAATGGTTGCTTCAGCACTTCTGGCACCATCTCTTCACATCAGGAGAATTTATTTGTACGGTGTAGTGAAACAATATGGTCAGGCAATGAAATCCAAAGTGATAAAGTGTGTGAAATCTCCCACTAATTTTTTTATGATACTGTTCCTAGCATTTCTTCACTATTTGTGATGACAGCTGACGTCTTTGCATCAGAGTGCCTGTCCTGGCTGCTTGCTATCAGCACAGGACAAGCAGCAGCAAGCAGTCAAATTGCTGCTGCATCCCAGTGGCTCTGCTGTTGCTTTGGGAGATGAAGCTGCAGAGGAGAGCCTCCCCATCAGGGAGCTGCTCTGCCTGTTGGGCAAGATGTTGTGCAGCTGGTTGTCCCCAGTGGAAATCGTTTGTCTTAAAAGTTGATCTGAGTTAAAATATGTTATATTTTCCACATGTTCTTCTCTTCTTTCCCTGTCTGGATTTTTGAGCTGGTGGTGGGAGTGCTTAGAAGAAAGTTTTTTTTTTCTGTCATTAATGTGCCTGGTTCGTGAAGACCTTTTAAGAGTCCTTAAATGCAGAGGAGGAAATGAGGTGCACTTCCTGAGCAGAATCATAAGGAAGTGTTCTCACTGGAGACAGTGTTCAGAGGTGGGTGCTGGCAAGACTTCAAGTGTCCACCCTTGTTCTTAGTGCCAGGGTCTCCCTGGGCCCTCTTGCCCATGGTAGGTGTAGCAGAGCGTCCTTTCCTTGCAGGCTCCATTGGGCTCTGGTAGGAGAACAGCTCTGGGACTGAGGAACGGGTTGTCCCTTCGGACAGAGAGAAGTTAAAGAGAGAGATCATTCTTTGGTGGTATTTGCTCTTCATTTCCTTGGCTGATCTGTAGAGGTTCCCAACAAAACAATAGCATATAGGGTTGAGGCTGGAATTGTTCAGGCCAAGCCACTGGGCGAAAGGTCTGAGCTGCAGGATCCAAGGAGAAGGAGTCACATCCTGCAAAGACTTGGGGATGTTGAAATCGATCCAGATGTCCATCAGGTAGACGGGCAGCCAGGAGACGGCAAACAGCAGGACCAGGGCCACCACCATCTGGGCTACCTTCTTGCGAATCTTCAGCCTGGAGGCTGGCAGCGAGCGGTTCAGGGCACTGCTCTCCTTCAGCTGGCTGCTGCGGCTCCACAGCCGGCGTACCGTCAGGAAGCAGATGACCATGTTGAACAGGACTGGCAGGCAGTAAAGGGCACAGAAAAGCAGAAAGTTATAGGCTTGCTTGAGCCTCTCCTGAGGCCAAATCTCCCTGCAGATGGAGAACACCAGGGGCAAGCCCTCCACTACCCCAATCTCATCCCGTCTGTTCATGAAGATGAGGGGCATGCATATTCCTGAGGACAGCAACCACACCACCAGGATGGCACTGAGGATCCTCTTCTGGGTGAAGAAGGAGCGGGCATTGAGCGGGTTGTGCACACTGTAGTACCGGTTCACGCTGATGACGGTCAGGCTGAGAACGCTGGCAGAGACGGAAACAGCCTGGATGAAGGGCACAGCCCGGCAGAGGAAGTCCCCGTACACCCAGGCTTTGTAGATGAGGTTGCCCACTGTGATGGGCATGCAGACACACACCACCATGAGGTCACACACCGCCAGGTTGATGAGGAGGCTGCGGGTGGCACTCAGGCTGGACACCCGGCTCCGGCGCTTCCGCGTCAGCACCCTGATGGACATGATGTTCCCCACAAAGCCCACCACGAAGGACACGAGGTACATGGCAGTCAGGCTGATGGTGATGGGCTCCTTGGCGAAGAGGAACAGCATCTCCTCCAGCTCTTCCCAGCCCAGCTCCTGGCTTCCATTCCAGAAACCGCCCTGGGTCTGGTTCTCCTCCTGCCACAATTGGAGTAGGCTGGGGGGAATACCGGGAGTGGAGGGAGAGGAATTCATGGCTGAGCCTCCCCGGGGGCTAACAGGGCAGAGCCTGCCACGCTGCTCTGAGCTCTCCGGCCATGTCTACCTGGGACCACGCCTGCAAGAGAGGGTGAATAGAAAAGGGGTGAGAGCGAGCCCCGATATTTTCCTTTCCCAGGGAAACTGCCTGTCGGAAATGGCTTCTCGGTAACTTAGTTGAGCCGCGGATACGAGCGAGTGGCCCGGGCAGCGCAGCGCGTCTCTGCGGGCACCGGCTCCGTGCTTGGCCGCAGGGAGACGGGACGAGAACGGAGGGCACAGCATCCCCTCGGGGAGCAGCCCCAGCCACACCGGTACCCCCCCGTCCTCCCGGCAAAGTTGCATGCCCCGCGCTACCGGCCCCGAACACGGGCTGTCCCCGCTAAACCGCGATTCTCCCGGTTCTGCCCCTCCCGGTTCTGCCCCGGTCCCACGTCGCGGCGCGGCGGCACTCACCGGGCGTAGGGCGGGCAGCGGCGGGCCGGGATCCTCCCGCTCTGCCGGCCGTTCCGCCGGGTGCTGGCAGCGCAGGACCCGCGGGCTCACACACACGCTCACACTCGCTCCAGCGGCACCGCGCTCCCTGCGCCCACCCCGCGCACGGTGGCACTCGCGTCCCTCTGCGCTGACACGCACACACGGAGCCCTGCACACGCACGAAGCACACGCAACCCTCCTTCAGCCCGTCCTGCAAGCCGCAACACCCCCATCTCCCTCCCTTACACTTCTGCGTTGTTGCACACCACCGTGCGTTCAGACCACTCTGCAGACTCCTCATCCATCGCATGCGCTCCCAGCACACGCGTAGGTTTATAGATCCCCTTATACACTTATACAGACACTCTACATGCACGCTGTGCACCCTAACCTTGCCACACTTGCCGCATGCACCTTTCTACAGGTGCCCCACAACCCTCTTCGGGCATACAACCTCTGCACACACATATTACCTTGCACACCCCTCCCCGCACACCTCCTCCTTTTGCACTCCCCGCTCACACTCCCCCTGCTAACCCTTTGCGCTTCCTCTTTGCACCCACACGCGCGCATCCTGCACACCCCCCTTTTCACGGACACCTCCATGTCCTCTGCCGGGATTGCTGGCTGGATCCGAGCTGTGTCAGGCCGTGCTGTCCCGGCTCACTCCCGGCCAAGCAATGCAGCTCCGTGCTCATTTTCTCCGAGCCGAGCCGAGCGCTGCCAGCCGCTCCTCCCGCCGGGCTCCCCGTGCCCGGGCCGTGGTGCTGAAGGACAGCTCCGCCGAGGGGGCGCCGGGCACGGACAGCCTCCCCTGGGCCTTCTCCTCTCCCGCTGTTCCCCGGCCTTCATAGAATCACGGAATCAGAACAGTGCACCCAGGCACTTCTGCACCTACCTCTAGCATATAGATCAAATCCACTGGGCTCCGTTTGCGCCTTCCCACAGAAGCCGACAGCCTGCGGTCAACACCGTATCCGTGTGTTGGTGGGAACCCACTTGAGCAACGAGCACTCGGGAAGAAACACAGCTTTGTGTCTTTTCTCTTACACTGCAGGAATGGGACAAACGTTCCATAGAAAATGTCACTTAAAAAAGTTGAAGGGCTAGGTTGGGGAACAAAGTTAGTTTGTTAAATGAAGCTTTAGACTTGGGGGTAATCAGGTGATGCCAGTGAATCACTGAAGAAAATGTTTGACAAGAGGAACCAATACTTCAACCTGAGGAGTTTATTCTGTATTTTCTTTCATTGCTTTCTCCAAGAGAGAGCACGGTGACAAACGCAGGCTGAGTGGAAGCTTTTTGTCACTGAGTGGTGAATGTCCTTGATTTCGGTGGGAAATTCTCCATCCATTTTAGTCTATTTATGTGAATGAAGAAAGTAAATATTTTTGGTCATCCTGACGTGAAGTGAAAGAAAGATCAGCAGTGGAACAACTCTGGGCGGAGGAATGTGATCGGCATATAAAGCTCTTCTGCATTAGAATGCATTTGCTTTAGGCATGTGACTGTTTATTCCCTTATAGTTTTATGTATGTGTATTTATAGATCTTCGGGGACAAACAACTTCTATAAACTAATTACAGTGTGTTGCCCAGAGCACAGGGTACACATTATTCTATGCAGAGAATTGTCCAGATACTCACATGGATACCTAAAATCTGCTGCAATTTCGCAGCTGCTCCACAACCAAATTGATCTATTGCAAACAGGCAACAATAGAGGCCAGGTCGAAGCTAGCAATTGGAAACCTCCATGCACCCGACTCCTTGCCAGCCACTGCTCAGCCTTCTAAAGCAGATTTGTCATTACATGCAGAAAACAACAGAATGGAGGTGTTTAAGTCAACAGTTTTAGAAGGGTATTAACAGACTGCAAGAGAAGAGAGCAAAGAAAGGTACCCGGACTCTTTAAACCTCTTTTGTTAAGGTTATTGCTTTGCAATTGTTCAGTCTAATAAATGCAGGTAACATTATCATTTTTTCCCCATGCACTTTATTTGTAACCTGCATGATTCACTGCTAAGGAACCTCTAGGCTAGATTACTAAGTTAATCAGTGGTTCGATATAATTAGGATAAATCTGCTTTTGCATCCATTGGCACAGCTCACAAGGGCCAAGTCACCTCTAACAACAAATCACAAATCTATATACTGTATACAGCAGTTAGAAAGGACAAGGTCATTAGTTATAACAAGTTCATTGACTACAACAAGTTCAAAGTCACCAAATAGCTCAAGATGGGGAATCTCCAGCAAAAACTCTTTTCACACTGGTTCCCCTCTTACAGAGTGGCTTTAGAGTAAAAGCTAAAGGAGGCCCACTGGAAACAGAAGCCATCCTTCACCAGCAAGGGCAATGGACTGGACTGTGATCCTACAGCAGTGTGCATCAGAAATAACCCGCTGGTCTCACCGGAGTTACAGCTGTGAAGATCTGACCTGAGAGGAGGAGTGAGTCAGCCACTCTGGGGCTTTGCCAGAATCTCAGAAAAACTCACAGCAGCTCCCAGGCCTGGCACGTCTGCCCAAACCTGCTCTGCTCACTCCACGTCACAGTCCCAGAGTGGGGTAAATTTAGCATAGCTGTCTCAGCACAAACCTCCCCGCTCCCACTGCAGCAAGAGCAGGAGCTGGGCTGTTGTGTTCTGACTGTTCCAGGCCCAAGAACTGGTATACATTAGAGAAATCCTGAGGCTTTTCTAGCTTATGCTGGTGACCAGATGGATTGGCTCCTTGTGAGCATGAAAATGGAGAAATTTCACAGCAGCTTGTGTACCTTCCCCTTGTAAAACTTTCTCCCTGCTAAGTACAGGGGAGGTGTTTTGGCAGCTGGGCCGCTGGCTTGGAGAAAAGACAGTGAGCTGGGAAATGCTAACACCAGTGAAACTGATTCCCTTTGGTTTTACTGGAAGGAGCTGGTCAGATTGCTCATGAAAAGCACTGGATAACACCCAGAGTAGTTCATCACTGCCTCTGAATCCTCCCATCCCTCACTCTTTGGCACAGAGCTGGGAGGACTATGGGGAAAGGAAGCTTGGGAGCCTTTTCACCTGCTCATACTGCATACACTCCTTGCTGCCACCCATGGACCACTGCCACCCAGGAGTCCCATGCATTTCTAATGCTTGATATGCACAGCATGCTGAAACCTGTCTCTCTGCCTCTTGTACCATCAGGGCAAAGCAGCAGCGTTATTGTTTGCTACTGTATATTGGACAAAATACAAAACAAAAAAAATCATCCATCCTCCTCTGGGACACTTTCTTCCAACAAGAAAACTCCCCAAATCTCCAGCACTGTCAGTTTTCACAGAATCACAGAATTTGGGGGACATGTGAGCTGAGATTGCCACTCCCTCTGCTGGTGGCAGAGCTTTGGGCCTTGCAGAGCTGCTCTGGCACTGTGGTTTTGTGGGCACACAAGGACTTTTCAGGCACCGTGGCCCACGTCCTCAGCATCACTCCGATGTGGAGCTCACTGATGTCAGCATGTTGATGTGGGTGTAGAGACAGGAAGAGATAAGAGGCCGATGCAGTGCACCAAGACAAAGCATAAAAGATGTCAAGTGCGCTTCAGAATATTAGAAACTACTATTGCAAAACAAATAAGAACAACTGGGAATTGACGTTTATTGTTTGTAATTAGTCCAAGGAGAGAGGAAACCTTTCTTCTCTCATTGTTCTTCCCCTCTCTATCAAAGAATGAAGTGTTTAAACTATTTCTAGGGTCCTTTTGAGGATTTTAAATGAGGCATGTGTGCGTTTTTCTGCCTGGGAATATTCACTGCTGTCTGTTTTCATAAACAGATACGTGCCAACTTCTTTATCTTCTTTCTTTGTTATTGGAAGCCTCTTAGATTGAGTGCTTCAGAAATGTAGTAGCTGAAATGAAAAGATAATTTTGTACAGAAGAATTTGTCTGATATGATGGGCGCTCACTCAAGAACAATGAAACACCATTTTGGGATAAGTGTGATTGAAAATCCTTCTTTCTGATATCTTTGCTTTTGGTTCGTACAGAAGGACAGGCAAGCAGCAGACTGGGGAGTACAGGGTTGAATGTACCCTTGATGGGACCCTGTTTAAAATACAGCCCTGTCTCATTAAAAGGAGAGTCGATGAACAGAGATAAGAGATTTGAGGCATTGCACAGGCTGCCCAAAGCAGTGGTGATGCCCCATCCCTGCAAACACCCAAGGTCAGGGGATGGGATCTGAGCAGTGATGGAGCTGTGGGTGTCCCTGTGCATTGCAAGGAGTGGGACCAGATGGCCTTTAGGGGTCCATTCCAGCTCAAATGATTCTGTGACTGCACAGCAAAGTGGTTTCTAGGAGAAATCAGTGCTTTGGATCCCTAGTTCATAGCCCAGGGAATTTTCTCTCTGCTCACATGTGGTGTGGAGGTCTCTTTCTTTTGCTCAGAAGAGGCAAGATCAATCCTTAGGAAAAATCAGGACCAGACTGAAAGCAAGGCCCAAATTAAGCAGATTTGGCTAACTGTGGAAACCTGCTGGTCTGATCAGGTTTGTGAGTCTCCATTTCAGCCTGTTTTGGTCAAAGCAGTTTGCCAGTGCAGCTGCTGAGAGGGTAGGCAGATAAAACCATATCATAGCAGAGGCTGCTGAGGCAGTCTTTCCTTACACATGAGTGCTGCCAGAGCTGCACAAAAACATTGCTTTCCCATTGCTCAGTAGCTGGCTGCAACAAGATAAGAAAGAGGTCTTTACATGACAGAGCTTTCTTGGCTCCATCAGCTGATTGCCAGCTGGGGGAAATCTGACAAAGGCTTTAAATTTGCCACAGTTTGCCTTTCCCAGCTGCAGCTGCTTGCAGAACCAGAGGAGGAACGTGTGGGAGCCGGAAGGAAAGGCACTGAGAAAAGCACTTGCAGGGCCCACAGCTGCCACCAGAGCAGGTAAAGGTTTTAGAGAACACAATAGCAGGGAGCTCGTCTGTCTGTGCACGGAGATTCACTCTTGGCTGATGAGGCTGGGATCAGGTTGCAGTGAGATTTAGAGCTTGAGCACTTTTGCAACAAGGGTTTGGCCATCAGGTGGTGTGCGTGATAATAAGCTTTCCTCTCTTTTGTGTTCTTGGCAAGGAAGCTCTTAGGGTTCCTGCCATGTGGATTCAGAGGGAGATCAACTGGGAAGCAGGGAGAGGTGACATCGTGGCTCTGAATCCTCTCCAGCAATCTGCTCTAATGTTCTGATAAGGTAAGAAAAAAAAAAAAATCTGTGAGCTTCTATTTATCTTGGGCAGCCTTTTTAGAGGAATATCACACCTAGAGTCATACAAAATCAGTCAGAGGCTCGGAGCTTTTGTTAAGCTCTGTCAGGATCAGCTGCATACTTCTTTTTCTCTCTAGTAATAATGCATAACCTTTCATTGTGCAGTGACTCATCTGGAACGACTCGGGCAATCACTGCTCCCTCAGCACCACTGACCACGTTTGTCTCTCTGGTTCCAGTGTGTGCTCACAGCACAAGGAGACTTCAGGAAATGAATTATGACAGTAGATGGAGTTTAGTGCAGAGGCTGAGGTCAGGAGGTGAAATAGCTGCACCTCAGTCTTACTCCCATTCTACAAAACCAGCGATCTCATGTGCAATAAATCACACAGCAATTGTTGAACCTTGCTTAGGAGAGGAAGGGGTGCTTGTGGCTCTTTGGCCATTGTTTAGGATGGAGCAGGAAGTAAAGAAGTTGAAGAAATACTGATTAGCAGCTGAGACCGTAGCAATGATGCCTATGTACAGGGTGAATGGAAAACTCATTAAGCTCAGCTTATTAAAACAAGGGGCTGGCTTGTCTGTGCAACCTAGACTGTGTTGCAGATCATAGAGGGATTCAGCATAGAGTTTGTTACTGTATTAAGGCAAACTCTCATATGTCACAGAAAGTTCCAGCCAAGCTAAGACATAAGCTACATAGATAGGTCATGAGCTGCAGAGTGAGAGCACTTGCCTGGAGGCAAATGCACCTGGTCACTCCCTTTTCCTCCCTGCTCTTTTCCCACCACATGCCTTCATTTCTTCACCTCTATAAAGGTGTTATGACACTTCTTTCTCTTTCTAGTTTGAAGCTGCAAAGTGCTCTGTGAGACCCAGCCAGGCAGCACAGGTTGAGATGGGGGCAGGGAAAGCTGCCTGATCTCCATTGGCTCTTGTGCTCTGGGCAAGTCAGAGCTTTGGCTGGCTGTATTCTTGCAGCTTGAAGGCATAACATGATAGATTATGTTCAGCTCCAGCAAGAGGGTCTTGAACAGACTGCAGAACAGGAAGGTCAGCAAATTCATACGTAGGGTTAATTTCTGTCACTCTTTTCTTATGCAGCAGAGGTATACAATAACTCATCTGTCAAGCAAAGCAGTACCATCAGCTTCCAATGCTTCAACCTCTACAGCAGATCCTTTCTTTCAGAAAATAATCCCTTTGCAGCCTGCATTTAATGTCTGCAACTTGGTACCTGCCGCTACGCATGCAAGATCAGAGCTGAGATGTGCTCCTGTCTGAGCTGGCTCTGGATGGAGGTGGTGCGAGTTAGTGACTTCATGAAGCTCCTTTTAAATGCAGTAAAAGAAGCATTTCTCTGCTTTTCTGCAGAGGCTCCTTTTCAGCTGCATAGTGCCTCAGAGTTCTCTCTCCCAGTTAGAACAGAGCTGCTATTCCTCCTTTCTTCTTGTTCTGTTTATTTGTTTATTATGGACTCTTCAGGGAAGTCGAATCTGCCCTTCTGGCAGACATCTATGACTCCTCAGCGTTCAAGGAGTTTGACAGCCCACGTGTTGAGTAAGCGCTCTCTTAGGTAAGGGCTCAGAGACGTGAAGGAGAAAGTCGTGGCTTTTAAGTTCTGCTCTTGCTGGTGGCTGTATTGTGTGGCAATGTGCTGGGAGAACTGACGCCCTGGGGAGGTGAGAAGTGAGGTGCTATAGATGTGGGTTGGTCACTGAGCTGCACCACAGCACGACTGCACTGAATCAGTGGCAAGGAGCAATGCCTCACACAGCTCTGCCTCCTTCAGGGGATGTTCGTGGAAGCACTGAAATGGCAGAAAACTCATCTGTCACCTAAACAGTTCCCAATGGCCCTTCTGCCTCTCTTCACCAGAACTGCCCTCCAGCCATGGCTGCATAGCTAAACCACCAACATCAAAGTGTTTTGTGATGTTTTTTGGTTTTTGTTTTGTAGAAAGGTGGACATTAAGTCAGAAAGCAAATGGGAAGCAGATGCAACCTGCACGGCTTTTTCCCTTTTAATTCTTTTCTAGACATCTTTCTCGCTGTACTGGCACTCTGCCTCATCTCGGGGCAGGACCAAGTGTTTGCTATTCGTGTGTCTCTTGCTAAGGTTGGCAGAGACAGCATCACTCAGCCTGATGTGTCCAGGCTGCTGCCCTGCTGATAGAATGTGACTGTCATTGACGTGGGAGCCTTTTGCTTGCTGGCCCATGAGGAAATCACTGGTGCTGCTGCCAGGGTGTGTGATGACTGCCAGCAGTGTCAGCAGGACTGAGGAGTACTTGCTAATTGTGCACCATCAGATGCTCCACAAGAGATCCGCAGCCCTGAGATGCTGCCAGAGGAGACCTTGGCCCTGGGAGGTCTGGCAGAGCTCAAGCACGAGGGATTATGAGCCTGTTTTCTCTCCAATTGATCTGGGACAAGCCAGAGCAGTTCACTGAGCTCTGCAAATCCAGCCCAAATGAGGAACACAAGTGGGAATGGGAGAGCTCCCCTGTGGGGTCACCACCTCTCCTAGCTTTGCCTCCTGAGAGGCATTGCTCCCTGCTGGCCCTCCCTGGCTGGTGTAAGCAGTAAGGGCAGCATCTTCTGCTTTATAAGCAGAACTGATAAGACAGTCCCCATCCCCTCCTGCAGTACCTTCTATCTCTGGAAGCATTTCAACCTGGCTGCTGTGCTGGTTGGCCCCAACTGCCTGGGCAGTTAAATGTTCATCTCAAGGCCAAAAGGACCTTTCCAAGCTGGGCAAGAGTGCCTAAGAGTTCCCTCTACAGTCCCAGGCTCCAGGATGTGAATAGGAAAGCTGATTGAGATGTGGAAGGAGCATGAGCTGCTTCTCTCTGATCAGCTCAACACCAGCACACAGTGCCTCTGTGTGGTGCTGATGTGTCAACTCCCTCCTGAGAGTTTAATTGATCATCTTAATAGTGTGGCTTCATTTTTCCCTGGAGTTTCTCCTTAAGGGGCAGATGAGGGTGAGAGAGTTAGAGAACATTTCTCCTAACCAGCCAAAAGCTTTCCTTGCAGAGATGCTCCGTAGCTCCCTAGAACCACATTGCTCCAAAGACCTTTTTACCCTTGGGACTGTTTTGGCTAGAGGAGGCAGCAGATAAAAGCCTAAGTAAAAAAGCCCTGCAGGAGTGCTGTGGATGTGTCAGGAGGGATTGGGCTTGCTCAGTGTGGGTGGTAACACATGAGAGTGGCCGCTGGCACCAGCTGTGGGGAAGGTACTCGCAGATGTGGCACAATCCCTGCTGCTGCCTGATTTGGTGTGGCATCTCTTGATTTGTTTGTACTTGAAATATTTTTGCCCTGTTTGTCCTCGCTTCTGGGGAGAAAAATGAGATTGTGGTGTATTACTGCAGCGCTGGCTGTAAATGGATTTTGTAGCTATGTAGGTACATAGTATTAGCCTCATAAATTGTTTCATCACTTTTCCTCTGTGAAAAATGATCTGTCTATCAACCCCCAAACAGGCATGAATAAAAAGAACTATTTCTTTCAAATGCAGTTCAGCATTATCAGAAGTATGACACAGAGATCCCAACAGGACTATTTTTGCCTGCGCTTGTGTCTGTCTTACCGAAGGGATGGCTGGAGGAGTGAAGTGTGTGGAGCCTTTGAGCGGCATCACAACTACAATATAAGCCAGATGCTGGCAACTGTTTTGCCTCAGTGGTGATGGATTTATTCCAAAGGAGGTCTCACCATCTCCAAGCTCTCCCAACTTGCCACCAAGACAGTTGTCATTTCCAAATGATAATTTCTGCTCTCTTTGGGGGGAAGAGGTACTGTTTGAGACTATTTTGAGTTCCCATTGCATTCTCCACCGTGAGAACAGGCCCAGTTCCAGTTGGTGTTTTTTATGGTCTGGAAGAAAATGATAAACGTTTCAGCAGACTCATAAATGTCAGCTTTGTGGCATCCTGTGTTGTGGTTGGCTACGCGGTCACCTCTTCTTTGTAAGTCCTTGAGACTATAAACAGAGGAAAGAGTTGGGAATGGCCAATTTAAGCTCTGAGAAGTCTGGAGTGCAACTATGGCTTTTGATGATCCCATCCAAAGACAAGGATGGGTCAGGGCTGCTTTGTTACCAAGTGTCATCGTCCTGAAGGAAAGGGCTGCAAGGCGGGACCATCTGTGTTATTGCTTGCCATCATGAATGTGGTCTGTCTTACGTCTGAGAAACAAAGGAGTGATTTGGGGGCAGCTGTAATTGCGTTTTTGGAGCGAGTTCCTGTTCAGATTTAACACTGTGACATTATGCTTCTAATGTGTGCAATTAAAACAGTAAAAATAACATCATCTTTGCCTGTAGTGGCTTGGTCAAGGAATCAGACATATTTTCCTTTTCAAGGAAGAGGGAACTGCAAGAGAACAGGGTGTAAGAAAGAAGGATGTGTATGAAGGGCAACTGAAAAAGAGGAGGAAATGAAAGCAGGCAGGGCAAAGAGAAAAGTCAGAACACCTACAGGGAAAGTGGCAGTTTGTTCATTCTGAACTCATGGGCTTCTAGATGCTGGCTTCTGAAGATGTCCTTTTGCTTTTGGAGTCCAGCTGCATCTCTGTTGCATGCTGAAGGGCCTATGTTCCTTTATGTGTCCTGATGAGCTTTACCCTTTTCTGACCCACTACACCAACTCCCAGGCTCTGTCTAGCAAGGCTGGAGCTGGCAGGACACAGGCTGAGCAAACATCTCTGTGGAATGTATCTTCTGGAAATATCTTGCAATTTGCCTACATAGGACTTCATTAGCCCTCAGAGCTAAAGGGCAGTGCTTTCCCAGTGCAGAGTAAAGCAACCCCCAACCTGTGTCCTCCTGCCCCACAACTGGCTGTTGCTCCTACCTATTTCACACCTATAGGTTTGCAGGGAACAAACAACAGTTGATCTGCCCAGTGTGGGATGTTTCAGCAGGGATTCCCTTGTTGGATTTTATTGGCAAATACAGTGGCATTTTAACCCAGCTCCTCCAGTGAGCTGTTCCTTTCCATTGGTAACATCCACACACATTGCATCCATCGCCATGCGGCCAGCTGAGGACTAGCACTAATTTGCATCCTACTCCAGGGCAAATACAATTTCTAGGGCAGCATTAAAATATCCAGGCTATTCAAGGCAGATTTTGATGTGAAGCAGTGATCTGTCAGTCTCTCTAGCAGCAAAGATAAGAGCATTGTGCACTTCAGGGTCCAGGGGCAGAAGGTCTTCAGTGATGTGGCTACAAGTTAACAGCATGGCTGGGTGCTGCTGTAGTGCTGTGGCATGCAATGGCTGTGGCCATCATTTCCAGTGCAAGGATGTGCTGCAGCTATCTGGCTGGCTGATGATGAGTGCAGATGTGGAGGAAGTGGCCCCCAGCTGGATCAGGAAATTAAGGAGGAGTGGCTGGTGAGGCTATCCCAACTTTCTTTGCTAGTAAAGGCCTCGTTTGGTGATTTCCACTGAAGAAATTTCAATATCATTGAGAATCTGCAGCTTGGTGATGGATGAAAGCTGTTTTTGGCGATGCTTGTACTGCAGGATTTTGTTTTCACCAATGAAAATGTGGAAATAATCCTGGTCAGAATAGATTTCAACCTGAAAGAGAGACTGTGTTACATTCACCAGGTGGACACATCCTCCCCAGACCTCACTGTTGTCACATCAGTGAGCACTCAGATCTGGGAATGTGCATCCAAACCCTCCCCCAGCTGACACGTGAACAGGTCATCTCTCCTTTGGGCAAAAGAAAAGAATAATAGAGCTTTTTGCTTTGTGATAGCAGAAACTGGTGACAGTGCAAAGCTTAAACTGATGACAAAAGCACCAGGGATTATTGCCGGAGCTGTGCGCATCTGCGCCAGAGCTGGCTATAAATCAGCAGCAAAATAGCAGGGACAAAAGAAATACTGACAGGAGGCAGATTCAGAAAGGGGACCTCACTGGGTACAGTGCTGGCTGGAAAGGTGAAGGCATATCCTTGAGGACCATCCCAGTATTGGCTGGGATCACAGAATCACAGAATTGTAGGGGTTGGAAGGGACCTCCTGAGATCATGGAGTCCAACCCCCCTGCCAAAGCAGGTTCCCTACAGTAGGTCGCACAGGTAGGCATCCAGGCAGGTCTTGAACATCTCCAGAGAAGGAGACTCCACCACCTCCCTGGGCAGCCTGTTCCAGTGCTCCGTCACCTCACTGTAAAGAAGTTCTTGCGCATGTTTGTGCGGAACTTCCTATGCTCCAGTTTCTGGCCATTTCCCCTTGTCCTGTCTCCACTCACCACTGAAAAGAGTCCGGCCTCGCCATTCTGCCCCCCACACCTTAGATATTTATAGACCTGGATCAGGTCCCCTCTCAGTCTCCTTTTCTCAAGGCTGAACAGACCCAGCTCACTCAGCCTTTCTTCATAGCAGAGATGCTCCAGGCCCTTCACCATCTTTGTGGCCCTCCGCTGGACTCTTTCCAAGAGATCCCTGTCTTTTTTGTACTGGGAAGCCCAGAACTGGACGCAGTGCTCCAGATGAGGTCTTACCAGGGCAGAGTAGAGGGGGAGGATCACCTCCTTTGACCTGCTGGCCACGCTCTTTTTAATGCACCCCAGTAAGCCACTGGCCTTTTTGGCCACAAGGGCACACTGCTGGCTCATGGCCAACCTGTCATCCACCAGGACACCCAGGTCCCTTTCCGCAGAGCTCCCCTCCAGCAGGGGATGCTCCTGCCCCACCCAAGGACATCCATGGTGTGACCCGGGGCTACCTGGAAGGGTTCCTTGGCTTCGAAGGGGAAGGTTTTGTTCACCTCCTCCTTCCCCCAGTGGTTGGCCAGGAAGGAGTTGCAAACAATTCTGGAGCTGGCGAAGCGGGGGTTAAAGTGGAAAGCGATCTGATCTCCGGGATGACTGAGGAAATTAATTTCAAACCTATAAAAACGAGAGAAAGGGATGCAGAAGGGCCATGGAACAGCACTGCTGTCCCAAGGGAGCTGTGAGCACGGCTGTACTCACATGCTGGTGCTGGAGCTGGTTTCACCCTTGACCACGACGCTCCAGCCGGGACACATCCCCTCTGGGTACAGAGCCTCGAACTGCCGCCAGGAGGTGATGGCAAAACAGGGCACGGTGGGGAACAGCACATCACAGCCCATCCCCAGCCACTGCTCCACGTCTCTGTTCCTCTTCTCCTCTGTCCCCCTTCCCACACGCTCTCTGCTCCAGCCTTTTTCTTGCTCTGAGCCTCAGGATGTTCCCCTTCTTCTCAGGATTTTCTTTTGTATTTGCCACCCAGCTCTCTACAGAAGACCTCAGGGCAGAAATCCTGCCTGGCACAAAGGCACCTGCTCCTTCTCCCTGCCTGGACAATGTGAAATCTGTGAAATCCTCGGTGATGCTTTGAAGCAGCCTGTGAAAGGCAGGGACTGACAAAGGAGCAGGGTAATGTGGCATCCAGCCCATCCCTATCAGTGTTACATGGATGACATCCCAAGATCTCCTTTCTGATCCCATTCCACCAGCTCCCCTCCCGTTTTCAATGTTAAATGTGCATAGAACAAGCTAGAAAATGTTCCTTGTTGAATAATTCATAGTTTTATTAAATAACTCATTTTAATAAGAAGGGCTTGCCATTTCATCCCACTTTTTTTTAGCACTCTTTATGATCTTGCATTTCTGAGCATTGCCCTTCCCAAACTCATTGGGAAAAAACCTCTCCAGCTTTGGCAGCCCCTTTCCCAGCTCTCCCTTCCCATGGCTCAGTTCTTTCACACCCCTTCCCTTTCTCTGTTACCATTTCCCATTTCCAGTGCATTTTTGGGATGTGCAGGTTAAGCACATCACCAGCACTTACCCGCAATGCCATCCTGCTCTCCTGCTCTGTGCAGCAGATGTGGTTGTGCAGCCGGGGTGGGGGAGTCTATATAGGGCTGTCAGCCAGGGATTAGCAGAGGCAGCAGCCTGAGGTCACTTTTTAGTGCTGGGTGATGGGGAGCAGCAAATCCTGCTCCCCAGGCAGGGTCAGCCCACTCAGGCGTGCAAAGCTCATTCAGCCCCACTCATCCACTGAGCATCCTGAGCGGTGATGTGATGGAGGCAGGGTGGGAGAAATGGCGCACAAAACAAGAATGTGGGCTCCTGAAGGTGGAGGAGATAACAGCAGCTCTTTCTGCTGCAAAGTCTGTACAATCTTTTTTTTTAATGTTTTCCTTTTATTTTTTTATTTTTATTTTTTTTTTTTCACAGCCTGTATGGAGCCAGCAGGTTTGGGATGCCACTGTGCTGAGCTCAGAGCGGTTCCCTTCCCTGCTGGAAACAAAGTAGGAATCTGGGGATGAGAGAGCTTTTGTCAGATGTTTCCTGGTGTGGAAAGGCACCAAGAAACAGGTTGTGATGAAATGAAAGTTGATGTGTACTAGAGATGGGAGTTTGCATCAGCATTTGTTAATGTATAGTTGGGCAAAGCTATGCCAGGGAAGGGAAGGGTTGCTGTGCACCCATTTTCACAGGGTCAGTGCACCAAAAGCACGTTCTGGCCACCCCTTCATGCCTGGGAGGCCTTGATACTCCCTGGATGGTCCTACAGGAATCCCTGGCTTCTGTGGTTGAAAACTTCTTGTGCTATGGGCCATGGTGCTGATGTTATTCAATGTTTGCTTTGTTTCCAGCAGCTAAGCAGAATGAGAGCTGCTATCCCAGGCCCTGGCGCCCTTGGCAGATGACTTAAAACTCAATCCAACAGGCATCTAAGCCAAGAGCCTCTCCTGGGGCTGTAAAACCAAATCCCAGGCTGGGTTTTGCCCCTTTGGTCTCCTGCAAAAGCAAAGTGCTCGTGGTGAGGAAATGTGCTGGGAGCACTGGAACAGAACTCTGTGCTTCAGATGGCAGTGCTGGGAAGTGCTGAGGGACATGGTTTGGTGTCACAGTGGGGATGGGTTGGATTTGGATTTGGCAATCTTAGAGTTCTTTTCCAACCATAATGATTCTATTCTATGATTCAGTGAAGGTGCTGAGGAGGCAAAGGATGCTGTGCAGAGAGGAAGAAGCAAGGCTCCTTTCTGTGCCAGTGCCCACCTCACCCCTGCAGCACAGACACCAGCACGAGTCACAGTTTCTGGAGAAGCTGCTGGAAGTGCTGGTTTTGTCTTGTGAAACCAAGCACTGCCCACAGATCTGCAGCTGTCCTGGCAGGGCGATGTCCAGCTGGGCCCCGTGAGAGTTCCCAGTGCAGCTGCTGAAGCCACCAGCAGCAGCAAGTGCTGAGCTCACTGCCCTGCTGCTAACAGTGGTGCTTGGCCAAGCAGTGCTGGAGTTGTGGCTTTTCTGCAGGGCTGCCCTGCAGGAGCACAAAAAGCAGC